TTTGGATCCTCTGATGTGTGTCAGATTGCTGAGAAATACTTGGCAAGACACCAAAATTTTCTACTCCCAGTTTTTCTGAAGAAGCCTGAAATCTAGACTTTTTTAATGTAAAAATCTCCCAATTTTTAAAATGTTGACAACCATCTAAAAAAAATTGTTTAAAAACATAGTCTGGGCAAGCAAAATATCTGTAGTTTTGTTCTATAATGAAAAGACTGAGCTAAATGCATTCTAAGATGTCATCCAGCTTTAAAAACTCTGATAAGGACTGGGGTATTTTATGATTAATGGCTATTTTCACTTTAGGTGAAATAATAAAATAATAAAGTCAAATTTCTCCATGCAAAATTAGCCCTTGAAATGCAGCTTCCCTTGGCATACAGCCAGAAAGAGCAGCTGATGATAGTTTCCACTTACCTCTTTCTTTTTTCTCCCCCAAAGCATCATGTCTCATTGTTGTTTGCTGCCACTGAGCCAGTCCCTGACTCATGGCAACCCCGTGCACCAGGGAATGAGACACTGTTGGTCCGGTGTCATCCCCATGATCAATTCCAGATCAGACCATTATGACCTATGGGGTTTTCCTTTCACTGGCTGGTTTTCAGAAGTAGATCACCAGGCCTTTCTTCCTAGTCTGCCTTTAGTTAGAAAGCTCCATCGAAACATGTCAGCATCACAGTAACACACAAACCCCAACTGACAAATGGGTGGTGGCTGCCTGTGAAGTACTTTGGCTGGAAATTGAAACCCAGGTCTCCTGCATGGAAGATGAAAATTCTACTACTGAACCACTGCCACCTCATAGTCATCAAATACAAGTTCTACACATGTAAGTCATACACGACACCACATTTCCAATGTGATGTGCCTAGTACCTTACGGGAGCTTCTCAACAGCAAGGGGGACCTCGATTTCATTGTTACATCCCCAGTGCCTGACATGGGGCACTCACTGCACACAGTAAAGACTCAGTGATGTGTGTGGAAAGTTCAATTTCCCAGGAATATACTACTCTAAGTCCTATTTCAATATTAATAATTGTGAGGTACAAAATTCCATAGTAGATTTACATTAAATATTGGCTATCACAAAAATCCTTAGATCATTAGGTACAACGATCCAAGAAAAATATGTCAGATAAATATTATTTTTACATGTTGTGCATTTAAGACTTCTTCCCAGCAGCAGACTCACATTTTTGGAGAGCACTTGGCTATACTGTAACTCAAAACCTATATTTACCTCTTAGCAGATACATCCTAAAGGAAAAGCTGCAGATCCCTGAGCCTTAAAAAAGAGCTGACAGAGGGCTGAGAGCAAAAATAAAGATAAATTAAAAGCACTGCAATGTGGGAGCATACTGGACTGTCCAAATGCTCTTGTTTTCTTTGAGGATGTGAGACTCACACAAGATGACATACACCTGAGGTAACTATACGATCAACTTCTCCAGAACATTCCAACCATCAGCCCACCTCATGGTGGGACAAATAAAGAGGTGACTCAGAGGCATTCACTTGATTGCAAATGTCAAGTGGCTGCCATCTGCTGCAAGCAAACTGAAAAAGCTGACCTGGGAGAAATTAACCTTTGGGTTAGGAAAAATGATGGCTTCTTTGTACAAAGGCACAAAAGTCACACAGCAGGAAATCTGTCATCTACATCCCTCAGAATGTGCTTTCCTGGCCCAGGTTCTGCTCAGATACATCAAACGTGCTGACGTTTGCAGACAGTGCCCTGATTACTGAGTGCCTCCAGAGACTTGGCGGATGTGGGCCAGGCACGCCAGAGCACCTCCACTGCATGAAAAGCAGGGCATCTTGTGGTAAGCCAAACGGGAGTGAACAAGTGCCTGCTTGTCTTCCAGATAACGCACAGTGAGCTTTCTCGTCTCTAGTGAACAGGCACTATTTGAAAACCAAAATATGAAGGTGAGGCCCTTGTAGCGACAGTGGAAACACGGAGCCTCCCCACACATTTTGAGAAGAACCGTCAGCAGTGAGAGCCTGACCTGGGCGTGAACAGCCAAGAGCAGCAGGTAGTTGCAGGGCTCTCCCTGATCATACTTGGACACACTGTTTCTTAATCATTTGGCAATTGCAGATGAGAAGACTGTGAATGAATAGGCCACTGCTAACAAATGAACTCTGGTGGTGCAGCAGTTAAAGCATTCAGCTGCTAACCAAAAGGTTGGTGGTTTAATCCACCAGCTGCTCCACAGGAGAAAGATGAGGCAGTCTGCTTCCATAAAGATTTACAACCTTGGGGACCCAATGAGGCAGTTCTACTCTGTCCTATAGGGTTGTTATGAGTTGGAATCAACTAGATGGCACTGGATTTGTTTTTGCTTCAGCTAACTTAACAAAAAGCATTCACTAGAGAGGCTAGCTGAAGTATGCCAGCCCAACACCCTCTTTCATCAGCAAGAAGCATGACTGAAACAATGCACCATTTGGGACCTTGTGCAGTCATTGAGCTTAATCTACCCCCTGTACAGCAATTCTCTCAGGAGCATGCAGCCATTAGTGGTGAGGCACTTATTGTCCCCAAACAGGCCACCATACTGCTGCTAGAAAGGTCTTTCTTTTGCTGTACTGAAAGTTCTTTTTTTCCTAACTCTCTCTCTGTATCAACAACAACCTGCTGCCGTCAAGTCAATTCCAACTCATAGGGACCCTATAGGACTGCATAGAACTATACCATAGGGTTTCTTTATGGAAGCAGATTGTAACGATTTTCTCCCATGGAGTGGTTGAGGGGTTCGAACCATCACCGCTTTGGTTAGTAGTCAAGCACTTAACCACTGCACCACCAGGACTCCTCTCTCTGTGTAGCAGACACTGAAAAAGGTTAGAACCAAAGCCATGTCTTTCTCTCCTGCTGCCTCCCATGTCTAGGATGTCAAATACCTGTCCAACCTCTCTTGCAGCTACAAGTGGCCATGACCCAATGTGTGGTCTGCTGGGGGCTTCCAACAAAATTTTGTTCTTCTGATTAAAGGGAGCTGACCACACCTGGCCCAATCATCCCCCTCCCCAGTCCTGAATGTAGAATGAACCACTCTATAAAATGCATATATATGCTCTTAAGTAAGGGTCAGAAGAGTAAACAGGTAGACAGTTATAGTGATTTTAGTTTTATAGGGTGTATATGGGAGCTCTGGTAGCATAGTGGCTAAGACACTTGCCTGCTAACCAGACGGCTGGCGGTTCAAAGCCACCAGCCACTCCTCGGAAGGAAGGTTGGGCAATCCTACTTCCGTAGTGATACTGCCTCGGAAACCCAAGGAGGGGTCGCTATGAGTCGGGGCCGACTCGACGGCACATAACAACAACAACAACATGTGTGTGTTGGGAATGACTTTTTTTTTTTTTTTTGTAAACTTCAAAGGACATATACTTTTAAACATTAACCAAAGGAAAAAACCATATTGTCAGGTTGGATTCATTAGTCAGAATTAGGCAATTTAAGGTATTTTCCTTCCATGTGGTTCAACTTATGAATGTCCATGTTCTAAATGATCTGAAAAATAAACTAGAGGAAGCTGCCCTACCCTTATTTCTGTGCCTTCCACTACCACAGGTGATGGACCAGTGTAAATGAAAAAATGAACAAGAAAACATGTGGCTTCAGACACAGCAGACAGCCACAGGTGGATGCAACACAGCAGGAAAAATAGTTTATGGCTAATTTTCTACACATACCACAATAACAGTTCCCACATAAAATGCTTCAATAAAACATCTCTACTGACAGCTTCTAATTGAGTATCTACTACATGTCCAAAGAGCCTTAGTAGTACCACGGGTAAGTGCTTAGCTGCTAATTAAAAGGACAGCAGTTCAAACCCACCAGTTATTCCACGGGAGAAAAGACCTGGCAATTGCTCCTATAAAAAGTACAGCCTGTTGTTGTTGTTATTATGTGCCATCAAGTCGTCTCCAACTCATAAGAACCTTAGGTACAACAGTGCTGTGTCTGAAGCCACAAGTTTTCATCTCTGTTCGTCAGTGTTGCTATGAGTTGGAAATGACCCTACAGCACACAATAACAACAGGTTCACAGTAGAACCAAAAGGAACACACACTTCTGTCAAGGACCCCAGGCAGTAAGTTAAAGGAATTTCATTTTCCTCAAGAAATAAATGGATCTCTTTGGTTTTGGGTGGCTTTACTGCTGAACCAAGCAGGCACTGGTGGCGCAGTACTGGAATTCTCACCTTCTGTGCGGGAAATCTGCGTTCAATTCCTTACCAATGCACCTCACATGCAGCCACCATCTGTCAGTAGAGACTTGGGTGTTAAACAGGTTTAAACAGGTTTCAGCCATACTGCCAGACTAAGATGGATTAAAGGGAAAGGTATGGCAATCTACTTCTGAAAATCGGCCAATAAAAACCCCATGATCACAACAGTCTGATCCAGAACTGATCACAAGGGCCGCTCAGGAGTAGGCCAACTCAACGGCAGCTAGCAACAACTGCTAAAACACAAGCTCTACCCGTGCCCACTTAGTGTGTCCCTGTCCTCACCAAATAAGAAAGACTCTACAGAACCAATGTGGTAGGTTCATTTTTGTTAGTAACCCAGAGAAGATTCCAGGTGAAAGTCAATAAAATAAGCTCTGTCACTCCTTAATTACTGTTGTTGTTATGTGCCATCAAGTTGGACCTGAGTCATAGCGACCCCTCCTTGGGTTTCCGAGGTGGTATCGCTATAGAAATACACTGGCCAACCTTCCTTCCGAGGCGTGGCTGGTGGGTTTGAACCACAGGCTTCTGGTTAGCAGTCAAGTACCTTATGCACTACACTACCAGAGTTCCTCCTTAATTACTAGCAACTCTGAAAACCTAACGAAGATGTCTTTTGTTACAGGGTGTCATTACCACCTTACTCCTAAATCCAAATCTCTTAAAAAGCTCTCAGTATCCAGATCCCTGAAGTTGACTAAGGCCTCTCTTTCAGGATTTGGCGAAGCACACCCATGCAGTCATGACTTACCCCTTAAGATGTAATTCTGATAGTTCTGATCAGCCTCGGCTCCCACTTTGATCAAACAGGTCAGACCTTCAGCCATTACAAATTCATGCACCAAATCCTTGTCATCCTGGAAGGAAAGAGAAAAAGAAAACAGACTTCAAATACCGTCCCTGTCCCTCTCCGCCCAGGCTATTTAAGCTGTGTTCAATACAACCTTTGAAGCCAGAAGTATACCCCTAATGACTGTTCTGCTGTATTCAAATGAGGCATCCTATTGCCAGAGAAATCTTACAAGTCTTCACATTGTTGTTCACTAAAGACCAATGAATACCTTCTTGGTATAAAGACTGAATAAAGATCAGACAAATGAATCCCTTGAGGTCTGGAATATTTACTGTACTTCATTTTACTCTCTTTGGAAATTACTAGGCTCCCTACTCACAGGTCCCTAGGGACTGACCACATGAATCTTGCTGGTTTTTAACTACAGAAAATACTTTATGGCAAAATGAACCATCAAGTGAAGGATTTAAAGCCATTCATGTATCCTAAAAGATGTCCTTAAGGACTCTGGTTATGTTAATGCACTAAGCTGCTAACCCAAAGTCAGAGGTTCAAGTCCACCCAGAAATATCTCAGACCTACTGGTGATAATCTACTTCTAAAAAATTAGCCATTGAAAATCCTATGACCCACAGTCCTACTCTGACACCCATGGGCTCGCCATGAGTTGAGATGGACTCTACAGCAACTGGCAAGGACGCTGTTTATAAGAGTTGTACAAATATCTTTGAGACATAAGCAAGCAGTCTCTCCAACATTCCTCATGGTGCTGCTTTCAGAACAAATGAGGAGGCAGAGCAGAGGACCAGCCCTCCACCTGGGGCAGCCATACTGGCCATCAAGGAAAAGGACGGATTACCCAATAAACAAGCTAACCATGGTGAAATTCACATGAAAGTGTTCACTGTAGCTCAGTAAACATGCACAAGTAAGCTTGTTCTTACCTTGCTTAGTGGGTACTCCATCCCTGTCAGGGATTGTAAATTTGGAAAGAGGCTTTGATTCTGTGGGAAGGTGCTGTGAGGTTGGGAGAGAGACAGATGCCAGCCATAGCTAGAAGCAGAATCTTTGATGTGGTGAAAAAATGTGAAATTGTTCACTACAGATTGGTAAGTAAATACAAGGAAACCTGTGCTTACCTTGCTTATTGGGTAACCTGACACTGCTCAAAGAACTGCCTCTGTGGGGTGGCAGACTTGATCACAGAAGGCAGGACAGGGAAGAAACCCTAGTAGTCATCTAATCCAGGCATCTAATCCCCTCTAAGTAGGGCTCCAGACCAGCAGCATCAGCATCAACTGGGGACTTGTTAGAAATGCAAATTTTCCAGCCTTGCCCAAACCTACTGAATAGGAAACGCAAGAGTACAGGCCCAGGGAGGTCTGAGATCTGCATCTAACAAGCCCTCCCGATGATTCTGAGGTGCTCAGGGGGTTCTCACCCCTGCTGTCTTCACCCAAGAATCCCTCAAGGACCTTTTAAAGTAAGTAGGAAGTAGGGCCCTACCTACACTGATTTAATGAGAATGTCACAGGTTTGGCTACTATAATCCCAAGGGCAGCCAGTCTGAGAACCACTAATCTAATCCCACCTTCTCTTTACAGATAAAGATGCCAAGACTGAAGAAGAGAAAAAGATTTCGCCAAGATCACATAAGTATATGCGGCCAGCCCCCATGCTGGTTGACCCCAAGCCCAGTAATTTTTCTGTAGTTTCAAGTTCTGCGGTGTTCTGTGACCAGCAATGTCACCACTGTTTCAGGAGATTTCCTCAACTGGACAGAGCCCTTGTCTCAAACGCATCCAGAATAAGGCTGGAACATTCATTTTAAATTATAACAACAAAGCAAAAGTATGAACCCTCAATGATGTAAATGTTGTTGTTATTTGCTGTCGAGTTGGACCCAACTCATAGCGACCCCTCTTTGGGATTACGAGGCAGCATCACTACGGAAGTAGATTGCCCCATTTCCTTCCGAGGAGTGGCTGGTGGGTTTGAACTGCCAGCCTTCTGGTTAGCAGTCAAGTGCCTTAGGCACTACGCTACCAGAGCTCCTAGAATGCTTAATTGAATCATGGGAAGGTTATTATTATAGGAGTAGTCAGAAACCATGGTTTATCTCCAAAAGGGAGAAAATAATTTAGACAAATTGGCATCATCCTCCAGTCGCTATATGAAATCAGCCCCTTATTTTGACTGGATGGCATTTTCCAATTATATGGAAGGGGGACTTGGGCTAAATGTGGGCAGGCAGGGCACAGGCTCCCTCTGAACCAAAATAGCCTGTTAAATGTTCAGAAAGGGCACTGGGGTGGGGAGGGGGTAATGAAAAACAGCTGTGTGAGCTCAGACATTTAAGATAATCAGGGCTTTGGAAGAAAGAGAAAATGCGGACAATATCATGACTTTTTGGAAAATTATTTTACACTCCTATGTAAAAAAGAAATAAAAAATAATTCTCTCTCCATCCATATTCTGTTCCACCAGCATATGTGAAAAGCGAACATTTAGATGAGCTCATGTCTAGTCAGAAAGGTTTTCCAAGCATGTAACAAATGTTTATTACTTTAACTAAAGCTAGATTCACACATGACTTCATGGTGCAAAAGTGAGAACGAGCTCTTAAGAAACCACTCAGGCTAATCAGTAATATTAATATAGTAGAGAATTTACTATCTGGCGGGGCAATCGGCAGAAACATCAGACAGGCGAGACAGTGTTTATAAGAATAATTCAGAACCTTAACTAAAGATTATGCACATATTAGATAAGGCAGTTCAAATATATGAACTTATGAATAATGAATTGAGAAAATTTCCTAAACTGGCAATGTACTCAATTTGTAATACATATCCTAAAACTATAGCATTTTTGATGGATGATTTTTAAAACACGGATTTAAGACTGAAATAAAATCAAAATGTTAGCACTAGCTAATAAGTGATTATTGCTGCATTTTAGAATTTTCTACAATAGCCATGAGATCAATTTTAAAAAATGCCTCCTATTAGTCAAGGAATAGTCAACTCAAGCCAGACGAGCAACATCCCTGGTTTATAGGCCCTTACAGCCTGGTTTCAAAAAGAACCTTCATACGTAGAGAACACAAGAGGTGATGGAGATGCTGTCCCCCAGGCATGGGGAAGGTGGTTTCACCATCAGACGGCTTGCTGCCTGGGTAAGCCATTCAGTGTTGATGCACTGCTCTTCTGTGGTTTAGTGCTATTTCGTGCACACGTGTGTGGCCTTCCAAACAGATGATAAAGTTCTGACTATTAAGCACCTTCTTACATTTCTTTTCAGTTCCTCTCCTTCCCTACATAGTTCCAACAAAGGCTGCTCAAAAATATTTGCCAGATGAATAAGAATTAGAATTAACTGCCATGAGAATTCAGAGAAGAAACATCATGGAGTGAGCTTAGTGAGGGGATGTGTAACAAGAGTGTAATTTTGTTTTATTATTTTTAGCTTTTTATCAAGGAAAACTTTAAACATTTACAAAAGAAGATAGAATAGTGTACTCCACGTGCCAAGCAATTCAATCCAATCTTGTTTCAACTATAATCACACCCCCTCGGATATCAAGGTCAATTGGCCCCACAAAGACAATGTTCTACATCCTATTTTGGTGAGTAGCAACTAGAGTCTTAAAAGCTTGTGAGAAGCCATCTAAGATACAGCTATTAGTATCACCCCATACAGAGCAAATAAGAGTGAAGAAAATCAAAGACTAATTAGTCCAAAGGACTAATAGACCACATGAACCCCAACATCCACAACCCTGAGTCCAGAAAAAAAAATAGATGGTGCCTGGCTACTACTGCCTACTGCTCTGAAAGGAATTACAATAAGAGATCCTGAATAGAGGATAAAACCAAACCATACTCACTGCCATCAAGTCAATTCCGACTCACAGAGACCCCCTTTGGGTTTGCGAGGCAGTAAATCTTTAAGGAAGTAGATTGCCCAGTCTTCCTTCCGTGAGTGGCTGGTGGGTTTGAACCCCCAACCTTCTGGTTACCAGTCAAATGCCTTAGGCACTATGCCACCAGAGCTCCTTGAATAGAGGATAGTAGGAGAAAAATGTGAGAAAAACTCAAAATCATGAAAAATAAATACCAGGCTTATTTAAAATAAGTATCTGTCTGATACAGACTGGTGGAACTCCTGAGATATGGCTCTTAGATATCCTTCAAGCCTGGAACTGAACTCACCCCTGCGGCTCAACTTTCAGCCAGACAGACAGTCCTATAAGGTGAACCTATAAGGTATGCACTCCTTCAAACAATCAACCATACAAGATCAAAAGGGCAGCATCATTCCAGGGATAAAGATCAGACAGCAAGAAGGGACAGGCTAGAAGGACAAATGGAAACAGGAAACACAGGGAGGAAGTGGGAAGAGTGCTGTGACAGGGTGAGGATTGCATCAATACCACGATAAACAAAATCTGGATAGATCGCTGAATGGAAAACCAATATCCAACTTGCTCTGTAAACTTTTACCCAAACCACAATAAAAAATTTAAAAGGTGGTGATAATCCCAGGAGCTCTGGTGGCATAGTGCCAAAGGCATTTGACTGCTAACCAGAAGGCTGGCGGTTCAAACCCACCAGCCACTCCTCAGAAGGAATGTTGGGCAATCTACTTCTGTAGTGATGCCACCTCAGAAACCCAAGGAGGGGTTGCTATGAGTCGGATCCAACTCAATGGCAGTGAGTTTGGGTTTTAGTAATAATTCCACCCCTTGCCCACTATATTATTTTGAAGTAAATCCCAAACATTACATCACTTAATCCATAAATATTCCAATATATATCCACAAAATATAGAAACTCCTTTTTTAAAAAATATCTAAAATGCCTAAGGCATTTGCCTCTAACCAGAAGGTTGGTGGTTAAAAGCCACCAGCCACTCCTTGGAAGGAAGATTGGGCAATCTACTTCCGTAGCGATACTGCCTTGGAAATCCAAGGAAGCATTGCTTTGAGTCGAATCCAACTCCACAGCAATGAGTTTTGCTTTTTGTTTTTTAAATGTAAAATACTTTAACATTTTCTAATAT